GTCAGATTTTCTATTTTATTCATTGCCTTAACCTGTCACCCTCAATGAGCTGTGGGCCGGCATGGCCACGTGGTTGGGGAGGTCGACTCTCAATCTGTGGGTCGCGGGTTCTAATTCCATCACCGAACATACTTGCCCTTTCAGCTAATGGGGTGTTGTAAGGTGACGGCGATTCCACATTTTGTTAATAAAGAGTAACATAAGAGTTGGTAGTGATAACTAACTACCTTTCCTCTATTATATCAGTTATAAATTGGGGACGGCTATCACAGATAGCCCTCGAGTAATTTTGTGCGAAATTCAACAAACAAACAAAACAGTTATTCATTTCGTATGTATGCTTTGTTTATACATTTTCTTAAAATGGTATTGTTTACTGTCCCTTTTATGTGTTATATTGTGAAGTCTGTCGTTTATAGAAACAGCACAACACACATGGTTTATAGTTTTTAATTAATGGAAATAAAGTTAAAGATAGGATGGTTAGATAAAGGAATGGCTGAAGGTAAAGGGATGGTTAGATAAAGGAATGGCTGAAGGTAAAGGGAAGGTTAGATAAAGGAATGGCTGAAGGTAGAGGGAAGGTTAGATAAATGTCGATGTTACTTTCTCACATATTGGGACAAATGAACATGTATAGTGAACCAAATAACAACTTTTACATTGAATGATTTTTCTTGTGCCAGTGATACGTTGTACAGAGTCATTCTTCTCTTTTTTCCCCAGATCTTTATGCAACTGGTATTGCTGGAGAATTATTTTAGGCTTGTTATGTAAAGGTGTAGAAATGCTGAGGATTCTCTCTTCCTTATTTTTCCTTAAGGCAGTTGCTAAAATGACATGGACGAGAGTATTAGTTTAAATATCGAAGTCGAAGTTTAAATATCATTCTCGACATGGTTGTTCTCTTCAGCGTATAAATGCCCATCACACAGTGAACATGTTTGTTTATAACACACACTAAAACATGAATGTAGTGTCTCCATGAGATATCCTTTTGAACTAAATAAAGTGTTTTAGTTCTATAAGAAACTTTGTTTTTCAGTATTCGCCTTTAATTTAGTTGGGTTGATTTAGATGGACATTCCATAAAGCGCACCATGATAAATCTCTCGTTAGAGTTGGATTATTCACTTACCTGTTGGACTTTAGTGTACCTGAGAATACCAAATTTACATTGACCTTCTGCACGGACAGCACAGTGCCATTGTAATCATCAATTCATTCTATACTATCTCAGCCTTACAGGTAACTTTTAGTGCTGATTTCATCTCTCAGAAAGACTCTTGGCTGTGGCAGGCATCCCCACGTCTTCTCTGAGATGCACGCCGTCCCATCTGACAGTGAAATAACTCTGGCTATCAGATGTCAATTGCCAACATCACACCTCCACTTCTTCTAGTCACCTGCAACTACATCGATTGATGAGGTTCCAAATCATTGGGTAGTGACAGCATGAAAAACCTATATACACTTTTCCACTTCATATCACCATGAAGGCAAGCAGTCATCAACGTTTCCCTGGTCAATAGCTTGGGAGTTATTGGTCTGTAGCTTATCCACTTATTTCAGTAACCAGACTGAAACTCTTGCATGACTTTCTGAATGAGGAATACACATTCAACGGAGGATTTTTACAAAAATGATGCATGTCTTCTAATCACCGTGAACACCAGCATCTGTCGCTTTCACTCCACCATAAGCTTTTTTCCGTCTTGGAAGTGACCATTCCATGCAAATAAGGTTTAAATTAAGGAGTTGCAAAAATGAAAAGAAACACACACACACAGAGATGTATGAAATTTAAATTATATGAAAGAAAACTTTATTCACGATCCTAAAATTGTTTTGATAACTTAATATGTGATAGTCTAAGACAGGTAAGTTACAAAACCACAGGG